ACAATTCTACCGATGCCGAGTGTGCAGTGGGATCCATCCATTGAAGAAGTGTCGGTGCTTCCTACGCCTTAGTGCCGAGGAGCTGCTCCGAGCGGTTCTCGTGAACCGCTATTGCTCGATCTGCCTGGCCCACGAGCACTCCGACGGATCCTGTCGGCGTGGGGACGGCTGTAAGACGTGTGGTCAGGATCACCATACGCTGCTGCACCCCGTGACCAAGGAGCACAACACGCTGCTGCACCCCGTGACCAAGGAGCACCGGTCACCGCCCGCGGGAGACAGTACACTTGGTGTCTCGCTCTCTCGTCGGCCGTCATCCGCCAACTCCCGGCGCGGTTCGGGTGCTTCTCGCCCTGCGTCCGCCATTTTCCGGCATTCCCAAACCGATCCACGGCCGCCGACTTCCCGGCACTCTTCGATAACCCCTCGGCATTCTTCCGCCACTGGCCGGCAGCCGTCAAGTGCTCCACTGCATTCGTCCGCCACCCATCGGGTGCCGTCCACAGCTCGTTTGCCCGCGTCATCCGCGCCTAGGCAATTTTCCGCCTCTCCTATCGTCGCTGCTGAACCGGAACAGCGACAACACTGGGACCTGGATCTTCGACACGGGGGCCTTCATCGACCCGTGTACGCCCTCTAGCTGCAGTGACGCATAGCTAGCGACGAGGGATCAGTTGCAACCCGAGCGATTGCAAGGGGGGGAGGATGTTTACGTGAGGGGCCGTTGTGCCGCAACTTTAAGAGCACACCCGCGCTGAAGAGCGCACCAGCACTGAAGAGCGCACCCGCGCTGAAGAGCGCATCCGCGCTCGCCCCTCTTTCGTCGGCCGTCGTCGATCGTATTTTTGCTATTACTTTTGCCTTGTTTCTTTTTCTAAGTTAAGTTTTAATTCGATGTAAGCAGCCCAATAAAGCTGACGACCGCACTTGGAGCCATTTTCGCAACGGAGCGAGTCTGCCTCTGTGAAGGACCGGGGGTTGTATTGACGGATTCGTCACTCCTTGCCCTTGGACTAGCACTGGTAGCCTTAGGCTTCAAAAGAGGCGTCCGCGGAGATGCGGATTGAGATCTGTCCAAACGGATGGCTGGGATCGAACGCGGCTTTTTGTCGTCTCCCGTGGGCATTCTCAGAGTCCAATTCGCTGGTCAGCGCTTGTCGACTGACTCGCGCAACAGGTGCCTCGTACGAAGTGGTGGCCGGTCGCATTAATGTGATGAGAACGGTGAGATCGCGGATGAAAGGCAATTACAAGGAGCAAGTGCGAACTAGTGGCGCCGATGTGGAAAGTAAAGTCGTGTGCGGCACAATTCCAATGTGGAAAGAAAAACTTTAGCCACCAGAAAAAACCCAAAAGGAGACGAGGTTTGCTCGGATTGTAGGCGGATGTTGCCTGATGCGTAGTAGAAGCAACGTTGGAGGCACGGAAAATGGAAAAAGTACCGGAAAATTCGTGCTTGTTCGGAAAAAAGTGATGACGGTCTATATATGTATGTATATTTCGACTTGTGTGGTTCGTACTGAATTTAATATATACTGAAATATTAAATTCTTAACTATTTTCGAATTTGCGGAGCCGGAAGGTGGACTTAACCTTGGCTTGAATTTAACACACAAAAAATAAATAATTAATTTTTGGCTAACTGTCGGATTTAAATATGATGGAGCCAGAAGGGTGAAGTTGAAAATCTTAATTTTTAATCAATTGAGGTTAATTATCACGAAGATGGAACGGTGGAATTGAAACCTAAATATTTAATTAATTGAATTTAATTAACACGAAGCCGGGAAGATGGAAATAAAAACCGCGGCTCTATTCGGACAGAAGGTCGATAATTAAATAAATTAATTATAATTTTTCGATAAATAAATTTTCGACTTTAATTATTGAGTGGCCGGAAAGGTGAATTCAAAAAACCTGGCCCTTTGCTCGAACGGAAAATAAGAATTGAATAAATTTTCGTAGTTATAATTATAAACACATAAATTTATAATTAATTGATTTTTTAATCTATTTTGTTACGCAGCCGGTTATGCCGTCGGCACCCTGTACGTACCTCAAAGAAAAATAAACAGAACCGAAAAAACACAACACGGCTAGGTCGAGAATTTAAGCGACACAATCACGGATTTGTAGTGAAATGGCGGTTTATAATTGTTGGTTTTAGAAAATATTAATTTTTTTTAAATTTTATCGGCTATATATTTCCTGAAATTGGAGGCAGGAAATATTTGGAAATATATGGACATGCATGCAAGGGCATGTGGGGCATGGGCATGTGGGACAGTAGAGCTTCGATAAATGGACTGTATATGTTAAATTTTATCAGTTATATATTTCCTGGAATTGAAGGCAGAAAATATATGGACATGCATGCAGGTACGGATATATGTAAGGGCATGTGGGCATATGTTGGCACAGTGGAGCTTTGATAAGTGGACTTTATAATTGGGGGAACAGAAAAGTTATGTGGTGTAAAAAATGACACTGGTTGAGGAAGATAAAAACAAATATTACGACAGCGGCGGACTGTTCGGTGAATTTGGAAATTCCGGAACTAATTCACACCGGTGGCCAATATAAATTATGCCTTCTTTTTGTCACCACACAATTTCACTGTTCACTTGCGAATTTTTCGCGGATTAATTGCACCAAAAAAACATGTATGTGCGTATGTATGTATGTGGATGCACATATGCCTCGACCGTTGGCAAGCGAATGGATAACGGAGAGGCCGAAAACGGCGAGGAATAAGGGCAGCACACAAAACGGAGACGGATAGAAAAATTTGCGGCATTTTAAGATTATTATAGATTATTAGAAAATCTCAACCTGCCGTTGTGTCGGAAAACTCGGACTCGGAGGGAAAAACAATCTTGCAGCAGTGTGAACGAAATTTAATGTTCGGATCACTGCTGAAGACCGGCAGAGAGATGGGGACGGAAAAATGTACTTATCTTTTGGCGGAACAATGCCGAGAACTGCTGGCAGAAGAAAATCCAGGAATTATCCGGCTCGAAGGACCAATGTTTTGTAGGGGGGCGTGGTTGCCGCAAAAGATTCCAGGATTAGGGATGAAATGATAAATAAAAAGTCGGGGGCGTCTTCCAGTGGATATAACGCGGTCAGCTTTATTGGGCTGCTTACATCGAATTAAAACTTAACTTAGAAAAAGAAACAAGGCAAAAGTAATAGCAAAAATACGATCGACGACGGCCGACGAAGGAGCGAGAGCGCAACGAGGGGCGAGCGCGGATGCGCTCTTCAGCGCGGGTGCGCTCTTCAGTGCTGGTGCGCTCTTCAGCGCGGGTGTGCTCTTAAAGTTGCGGCACAACGGCCCCTCACGTAAACAAAAGGAAAGCTAACTTCGGGCGGAGCCGAAGTTTATATACCCTTGCAGTTAAAACCTATATCCGGTCGCCACCATCGGATATAGTTGGCCGATCCTTATGGGAATATAAATATATAATCCAATTTATTACAAAAGTCTTAAAAAAGTCCCATACTTCTATCTTAAAACATACCAAAGTTTGTATTTCTACCATTTCCGATCGTTCAGTTATATGGCAGCTTTAAGATATAGTCGGCCGATCGTTACGAAATTTGGTAGGTTGGATCAACTGACAAAAATATAATCTACACTAAGTTCCAGCTTTCTATCGTCAAAAACACAAAAGTTGGGTCATTTCCGATCGTTCAGTTATATGGCAGCTATAGGATATAGTCGGCCGATCCTTACGGAATTTGGCATGTCATATTATTTTGCTTAAGATAGCGCTCATGTAATCTAACTCTAAAAACACCGAAGTTATACCATTTCCGATCAATCAGTTATATTGCAGCTATAGGATATAGTCGGCCGATTCCGGTCGTTCCGACTTATATACTGCGTGCAAAAGAAAGAAGGGTGTGTGCAAATTTTCAAGTCGATAGCTTTAAAACTGAGAGACTAGTTCGCGTAGAAACAGACAGACGGACACACAGACAGACGGACATGCTCATATCAACTCAGCAGGTGATCCTGATCAAGAATATATATACTTTATAGGGTCGGAGATGTCTCCTGCAAGGGTATAAAAAGGAAGAAGAAATTTTTGCCCCCTAGATTTTGCCGGTACTGTGACGACGAAAATTATGGCTATCAAATTGAATGGCGTTGCGGATAAAAAAAAAATAAACAGCTGATCTCGGGGTGTAAAAAGAATTAATTTGATTTCTTTTGATAGCCAAAACATGGAGCGAAAATTAAGAGACAAAAATTGTCGGACCGAAAAATTTTCGACACGCGAGGATAAAGTGAAGTTAATTAGTGCGGTCAGGGCGAAGCCCATATTGTAACATGGGATTTGACCCCCAAGGGGCATTTTAATGCCATAAAATGGCATTGAAAAGATTTGTGATTGATTTTGATTTTGACCCAGTTTTCTTTTTCTTAATCAGCTCTTTAGCGGCGAAATACATAAAGAAAACACCAAAATCCAATCGGTTCGAATTCATTTTTGCTGATTTGTTTTTTGTTTACAAACAACAGCCGTTCAGTATTACCCTTTTCCTTAACTTTTTTGGTCACACTAGCTCGGTAGCCAAATAAAGAGCGATTTCGCTGGCACACGTTTAACAGGGGATTTTTGTCGTCAGAGTACTAGGCTTCAACAAGAATTCGTTTTGGGACCCCCCTCGAGTCAAAACTTTGACAGAATCTTCATCTGCGTGAATACCATAGGAGTCAATGTTCCAAATCGGATAGTTCCATCTTTTTTTTGAATCCGAGATCCATGCGTTTAAAATTTTAACACTTGAATATGGAAATTGGTAGTATATATCAATATTGAACCCTTGCACTCTTGCACTCTACAAGTAACGAGAATAAAATTTATAGTGGGCTATCATTATTAGGTGGTGAAGGGGCCTGTTAATATAACTTTTATAAAACAATTATACTTGTCTTGATTTTGTTCAATGCATTTTGTTATGAAATAAATATGTATGTATGTACATACCTTCTTAAAACTCGAATTTCGTTTTCCAAAGATTCCTCCTTCCCTTTAAGGGCTTTTTTGTCTATTATTTTTACTGCATAATGATCTCCAGGCGGATCTTTACTCTCGGCTAAACGCACTTCCGAAAATGCACCACTTTATGTTTGGTAAAATACTCTTTAATTATTAATATATAGATATTTAGATATTAGTACGTACGTTCCCAGAAGTCCATGCAGATTGTATTTCTCTTCAATTGACACTTGTTTATTCATCTCCTTTGTATCCTTTGCTTTGGCTTTTTTGCCAGAATCTTTTTTTCCAAAAAGTGGCATGTTTTTTTTTTTATTACTTTGCATAAATTTTGAAAATTTTCACTACACACTTATTATTTTTGCTTTAATTTGAATCAGATGACAAAACACATTAAAGAAAAACATTTTAAATATATATATTTTGTACTTCAAATATACATACAAACACGAATTTACTTAAAAACATAACACACATACATATGTATAAAACATCGGGCTTAGATGTCAAAGGCTATAGTTTTGCTGATTGCTGTGTTATATGTACATCTCACATTCTACACTTCAAGCCAAAGACGTACATACATATGCACATAAATACATATGTATAACTATTTTTACTTGACCTGTTATTATATTGAACTATTGTATAAAAATATGTTAGTATCATTTTATAGATGTAACAACGACCATGACAAATTGCTTTTTCACTATTATTTTAAAATCTGTCATTTCATATTTACGTATTTAAAAATTACATTTATCAATATGCAAATTAATGTAGATAAAAAAAAATTATTTTAGATCATTTTAAAAATTTATCACACGAATATATGTATGTATGTATGTACGTAACAATATCGTTTACATTAAGGAATTTATACACGCTTACTAACGATTTACCTGTAGTGACCAAATAATCTCAAAATTACATTTACATATAAAAGTGAATCTCTTTACATTAAAATACTGTATATTTTTTTTAAATTAGGACAAGAAGTTAAAATAGAAGTCGAAATTGTTTAATATTGATTTATTGATTATATCTCTGGCGCTAACCGTCAACTGCAATCTGGTTTTAAGAGTTCTGTTATTTAACAGTCACTGCAGAGCTTATACTTACAATAAGTTTTCAAATTTGTAAATAGTCTGGCATCCCTGATTTTTTATTTTGGTATTATACACATATGTACACTGGAATAAAGCCCGGCACTCTAGAGTGACCGAAGTTTTTGAGTTCCGTGCAATACGGTTGTACCGTTTTACCGCAATATGTTTGTATGGTTTTGGGCTATAGTCTAGTACTCAGAACTACAAAAACTTTTTCAGTCAGTCATTCGAATCAGTTTTATGTTTTTTTTCGTGTTCTTCGATCTTTGAACAATTTTCGAAAACTGCTTTAAAAACTTTCTTCTATGGGACAGAAAAAATCGGCATGGTTTGATGACTTTTCATCTTAATGATTTCATTAACAAATTTCATTAACAGCGTACATATTTTTTGCAAAAATGTAATGCTTTATTTCGCCAACAGCAATAGGTTAATATCTACTCAGATTGACTCAGATGATGTTTGACAACCAAAAAAGTATTTTCATTCCGCTGTCAACGAAAGTTTTTTCAAATGCTTCTTTCTAATAAAAATTCTTTAAACGATTTAATTTTTTATAATCATTTCCATTAATTTTTTTTTTTATCATTTTTATACCCCTGCACTGCAGGGCCTGTAGGTATTATAATTTTGGACAAAAGGAGGCAACGCGGTGAAGGAGATATCTCCGACCCTATAAACTCTATATGTATATATATAAAAATTCTCTGTTCGTATCTACGTCATTTATAAACTTGAAAAGTTTTGAACCGTTTAAGCCCAAATTTTTACCTAACATGCGTTGAGGTTCCAGCTCGGTTTATGTCTACTTTTGATGTTGATAGCTTATCTGCGTTTGCGAGTATATCAGTTTTTTTCGCGTTTCCGTTTTGCTTACAAACAACAGCTGTTCAGTATTACCCTTTTCCTTAACTTTTTTGGTCACACTAGCTCGGTAGCCAAATAAAGAGCGATTTCGCTGGCACACGTTTAACAGGGGATTTTCGTCGTCAGAGTACTAGGCTTTAACAAGAATTCGTTTTGGGACCCCCCTCTTCTCAAAACTTTGACAGAATCTTCATCTGCGTGAATACCATAGGAGTCAATGTTCCAAATCGGATAGTTCCATCTTTTTTTTGAATCCGAGATCCATGCGTTTAAAATTTTAACACTTGAATATGGAAATTGGTAGTATATATCAATATTGAACCCTTGCACTCTTGCACTCTACAAGTAACGAGAATAAAATTTATAGTGGGCTATCATTATTAGGTGGTGAAGGGGCCTGTTAATATAACTTTTATAAAACAATTATACTTGTCTTGATTTTGTTCAATGCATTTTGTTATGAAATAAATATGTATGTACATACCTTCTTAAAACTCGAATTTCGTTTTCCAAAGATTCCTCCTTCCCTTTAAGAGCTTTTTTGTCTAGTATTGCATGCATCTATGCATCTACACGATTAGCAAGTGCTCTCCCGGAATCCTCGCCGCCCATAAAGTAGATTTGTAAGAAATTATGTGGTTCGTTTGGCATTGGCAGCAGTGAGCCCATTTTATGATAAATCTGGCCTCTGATTTTGGATGTAGAGTTGTAATGTTGACCATTTGCATTAGTATTTCGAACTATTTCTGTTGCTCCGAATGATGTCATTTGAAAGTATAAATTGAATGTTAGAATTGACTTGGGAACACGTTAGAATCTGGATCCGTGCCGATAAGTAAGCCGTTGTTCAATGGTTCAGGTGGTGCCTTAATTTCTGGTATTTGCACTTTTCCTGACGAGCAACACATCCCAGCTGGCTTATTTTTGAATTTCAGAGCATGACAATTTGAACATTCCTTGTCCATAGCACCAATTACCATAGCATCGTACATCAGTATTTTGTTGCCTGATTTGTTTTTCGGTTCTTTCGGATCTTCTATTTCGAATGTATTGAGGCCTAATTGTATTGGATAACCATCTAACTACCGAACTGAGCGGACGAGCATTGCCCGAGCTCCGGGAAAACTGAAAATAAATAAAACAGCTAATCAAAAAAAAAACTGGGGCAACCCAATATAAGCGAACAGACGCTGAACCACATTTTGTGAACCACAGTTGTGATGTTCTAAACCAAAACTAGTGCATTGTTTTAAATAAATATGCAATGAGCAACGATTAAAAGAACGAGCGTAGAAGTTCAGTGAACCAAAGAAGCGGTTTCTACTCTTACTTTTCAACCCGCTATACCGAAGTGGAAAAATCGGTAAACACGGCTCTACTGGCCGCTGAAAACCAAAGGGCATGGTCACCCGCTCTGCTCACAACGACTTCCGCGTCATGGAGTTCGCAGTGCAAACCCCTTCAATATCGGAAACAAATTTCGGACCAACAACTAGCTGTACTACTACCGCGACGTCAACGACTACAGCGAGTAAAAAAACAACATCTTCGGAAAGTGCCAAAGGGGCCCCGGTCACACAGACTGGAATGGTTCGCTACATCCAAATTAGGCGCAAGCTTAGCCCGCAGAGTAATCCGGCAGGCAATAAAACAAAAATGAACAGTGTCCTCAAGATCGACGAAGAAGCAGACAAATCCACTAGTAACAGATTTGCCCTACTGGGGGATGTTGAGGAAAACCAACCAGCCCAAGACACCGCAAAAAAAACCCAAGCCCCCTCCAATCTATATTAGGCGCGAGCTCGAGTGCCCTGGTCAACCGAATTGCGGCGTTGGCAACGGTGACAACTTTCATGTTGTCCCGCTTATCAAAGGGAACCTCCATCAAACAAAAGTGCATACCAAGACTGAAGAGCACTTCCGAATCGGGTCCAAATATCTGGACATTGTTCAGAAAAACTATTACACGTACCAGCTGAAAAGCAGTAAGGGCCTACAAGTGGTAGTAAAGGTAATCGAACCCAATGTTACCGCCGCGGAAAAAAAACCGCCCTTAAAGAAAAGGGCTTCGCCGCCAAGAATTTTATTAACATTCTAAATAAAGATAAAAAGCCGCAACCCCTCTTCAAGGTCGAGCTCGAGCCGGAAGGCATATCGCTGAAAAAGATCGAAGTCCACCCAATCTACAAGCTGTAATATCTTTTGCATCGGAAAATCACTGTTGAAGAGCCATATAAACGTAACGGTCTAGAGCAATGCACCAATTGTCAAGAGTATGGACACACAAGGTCTTACTGCACACTTCTTACGGCTGGTCTTACGGCTGTCTGTGTAGTCTGCGGGGACGCCCAACTTCACCCACTGCACTACAAACGTGGACAGTACCGTGAAGAAATGTGGAAACTGCGGAGGCAACCATACAGCAAACTATATAGGATGTATGGTGTATAAGGAGTTGAAGAATCGCATGCGTCAAGCAATTGCAACTCGCAACAAAAATCCACAGGATGTGTACATAGCCTCAAAAACTACGCCAGACGTCTTCTTCGCTAAAGCCGCGAGGTCTTTATTCCACTAAACACCACCAACGGCTTCTCCTATGCCGATGCTCTACGATCTGGAAGGGAAATTCCAATTCAGCCTAACTCACAAAGCGCTTACAGGCCCCAGAACAGACACACAGCAAAACAGAAACTGTGATGCATACCCTCCAACAAAGTATGATGGAACTTATGTCATGCATGAAAACGACCAACAAAGTATGATGGAACTTATGTCATGCATGAAAACGACCATGCAGGCTCTATGCACCTCTATAAATAATCTATGCAGGCTCTACGAATATCAATGTGGAACGCCAATGGTGTCTCACGGCATAAACTAGAATTGTCCAGATGGGAAAGCCCACGGCGGAACTCTAATCAGAGAACGCATTAAACACCATTTTCACAAAAGGTTTGCAACAAATTTATTGTAGGCCGCATCGATCCCCATAGGCACTGGGGATCACGTCTAGTGACTCCCAAAGGAAGGCAATTGTACAATGTAAATTAAAATGTGAAAAATAAACTGGACTATGTTTCCCCTGAAAGTCCCACATACTGGCTAACAGACTTACGCAAGCTCCCAGACCTTATTGATTTAGCGGTACCTCGCAATCTAATAAGTGCCAAAGCAGTCTCGGGCCTATCATCAGACCACTCGCCTGTGCTTCTATTGCTTCTTCAAAGCCCAGAAATAACCGAATAACAGCTGACGACGCCAAAAACGAACTGGTTTAAATATATAATATAATATAATTAAGTCTGTCGTGGCCCATCACACTACGAGGTAGAGTTTTTATCCTTTTCATTGTTAAAAACGTTCTTTCGACGCTAGCCGTTGTGACTGGAAGAGTAGCCATGACCTTGAGAAGAAGATTTATCCCGCGAAAAAATTTTCCATCACAACACTCCAACAGTCTCAAAATTTCGGTCGATGGGTCAATTGATGAAATTTTGGTACACCATAACTTGTACTCAGCTTGAACTGCGGACAATGGCATTTCGTCTTGAAAGTATGGACCTAATTCTTCTAGTTCATCAATTTTTTTCTTGCAAGCATATCCTGGCAGTAGCAGTTGGAAACTGGATAAAATATCTTCGTTTTTGATGAATCTATCCGTCAAATTCTGTATCAAAGTATCGATGCAAGGAATGAATGTGGTGACTCTGAAATACTCTTCATTCGATGTCGT